CTCGATCCGCGAGGGCTGGTCGCCCTGCGCCCGCGGACTGTGTGCGGGGTCAGGCCTCCCGCGTCGCCCCTCCTCCAGTCCCCCACTACCTCCGTCCTCGCCTGGCTGACCCGGGGTCCTAGTCAAGACCCTCCCTCAATTCTGGGAGGGAAATCTGCTTTTCGATGGCCAAGGCCTCACAGTGCCAGAGGGAAGCCAAGGGGTGATCCCAGGAAAGCTGGTTCCTAGGGTCACCGCCCCCCCGGACTGCCTTGTGTCCCCCCAGAGAGTCGGGGTCTCCACTTGTCCTTCCACTCATCCCCCAGGCTCTGGAGTTTTCCGACTCACAGGTGCACCCAGGTTCTGCCCAGTGCTGGCAAGCTCAAAGAAGGTGGTGTGACCATATGAGGGTGAGCAGGGTGGGCAGCAGGTGCCGGGAGTGGACTGAGGACGGCGGTTGGCAGAAGGCTCCGAGGCAGGGAAGTTGGACGACCGGGTGGGGTGAGGGGCATGTGGAAGGTCAAACAGACAGCTGGAAAGGTCACTGTGGGGCAGCCTACCAAGGATACACACCTACCCAGGATGGGGTGGCCCTTTCCCGCATCCCATCACGTGTCCCAGGTCAGCGTCAGCACGTGTCCTGCCGTCACGCAGTTGAGTGCTAACCTGACCCCACCCAGCAGAGAGGCCTCATTCCTTTCCGCTTCCTCCTCAGGCCAGGCTGTCCTCTTCCCTGGGACACACCCTCTGCCTCTGGGGAATCTTCAGGTGACAGGGAGGACAGAGGACATGGCAGCAACTCCAGGGCAGGGGACCAGCGCTGTGGGAGCCTCCAGAGTGCCATTCCCTGACCTAACACGACCACCAAGTAGCATGCTTGCACTCCTGTGACTCGCTCTGGGCCCTGAGTCTGACCCTGGACAGTCCCAGACCTGTCTCTTCTGTATAAGCCAGCCTGCGCCTACAGCCCCAGCCCCGGGTCCTGCAGGCAACAGAGCCCAGAAAGTCAGTGTTCCTGGTGAGGGAGCCCACGTGGGCAAAACGGGCTGGAGAAGCGTTCCTGGCCTATGGGCCTGACTACGGCTCTGGGTGACCTCGGGCTAGTGTCTGGGCCTCAGTTTCCTCCACCATTCGGTGAGAGCACGTTCCTAGAGGGAGGGGCAGTGGGGGCCTTGTGGGGCCCTGGCATGAAGGGGGAAGCAAAAGGGGCAGCCCCGGCCAGTGCACATCTGGGGACCCAGGGCTCCGCTCATCTCCCCCACCGACACGCTGGGCGCGCACGTAAGGGGGCACTGGCCTCCAGGCCCCGCCCCTTACCCGAGGCCCCACCCCTAAGGATGAGGCTCCGCCCCGTGCAAGCCCTCTGCCTCGAGCCCGCCCAATCCGTGCCTTGCGAACCCCGCGGTTTGGAGCTGGGGCGGCCCAAGCCGGTTCTGGACTGTCCGAGGCCAGCGGACCCCGAGCCGGATCTTTAGGATAACCCTCGAGCGCGGAGGCTTCTGGGGAATAAAGTTCCCACAGTCCGCCACAAGCCTGTTTCGCGCATGCGCAAGTCAGCTACTCGCCGCCGGGTCAGAGTCTGCCCGAAAGGTGGGTGGGATTCCCGGCGCCTGCGCAGTAGGCCTTCGTTGTCGGCCTTCGAGGTTCAGCGCCTCGAGCCCGGTTCCCCCCATGTCCGGTGCCACATCGGTAGAACTCGTGCCTGGACCGGTCCGACCGGCCCTACGCATGCCACCCCGGTCACCCTGGCCTCTGGGGCACGTCTGATTTGATCCTACCCTTCCTGGGGGTTCCCCCGGGCACCAAAGACTGGGGGTGCGGGTTCTGGCTGCAGCCTACTGCCCCGAATCGCCCCAGGGAGAGCTTACTAGTGCCAGTGTTCACAAGTGTTCATATCCATTGTCACCCCCATGCACAGCGACCCTGTGTGCCAGGTGCTATGTGCTAACCTCACAGACGTGGCCCAGAGGCCAGGGTGACCGGGGTCGGAGGGGGTTGGAGGGCGAAGGACTGAGACACTGTGGGGAGACGAGTGGCCCTCTGAACCCACCAACCAGAGGGGAAACTGGTGTCAGAAGTGAGCTAGAAACCTCGCTTGCATATGAAGCGCGTGTCGCCAATTGTAAGACAAGTTTTATCAAAATGCGGAAATCATTTTTTATCAGTTGAGAAAAACAGCAAGCCTCAGAGTAGTTCGTGCTCTCAAACATCTCAGTCTGTCTGCCAGGCAGACGGTGTGGGTTGCAGCAAGGACCTCCACCCTCTGCCTCGAAGTGGGGGCTCCGAGGCGTGTAAGTGATGGCTGGGGTCCCCAGAACACCTGTAGGCTGGGCCCTGAGGGCCTGACCCAGGCTCCCCTCCTGCCCTCCTTGCTGGTGAGCAGAAGGTCCCTGGGGAGCCCAGGACATGCCTGGGATGCACTGAGGCTGAGTCACCCAGGCTGGCAGGGCCCCTCAAAGCCCAGGCATGGCCACCACCCGCCGGAGAAAGAAGGGTGGGCGGACCCTGTGCGGCAGGCACTAGAGCCTCCTGGGATCTTGGGAACCCCATTTTCGAGTCCCGCCCATGGCCCCGCCCCTCCCCAGGAGGGAAAAGGCAGCTGCCGATGCTCAGCTCACAGGCACTGGGACCTGGTCTGGAGGACAAGAGGACTGCGCCGTTGCCACCGCAGGTGGGTCCTGGGCCCAGGGGCTTCCCTGCACTGGGGTCCTCCAGAGGACCAGCCCCGCTGTGTCCCCAGCCTCCCTCCCCCATTCCCAGGTCCATCAGAGGGCACTGCCACTCATGGAGGGGGAGGACACCTGGGGGGCTGGCTGGGGGACAGCGGCCCTCGCTGTCCCTCACATTCGGCTCGGCCCCACACGTGTGCACACTAGCACAGGCCCGGCACACTGTGGCGTCTACGCAGTTGGCTTTCCTGGGTGGGCACTGTCTTGGGCTGCAGCCTTTCCCCTCCACTGAGCCAGCATTGTCTCCTCTGCCCACCCCTGCCAGGCCAGGCCATGGACCCCCATGAGATGGTCGTCAAGAACCCGTACGCCCACATCAGCATCCCCCGGGCTCACCTGCGGCCTGACCTGAGGCAGCAGCTGGAGGCGGCTCCCTCCTCCTCTGAGTCGCAGCCTCTGCCTGTGGGTTCCTGCCCCCTGCAGACCCCCCGCCTGCTGCAGCCCACCAAGGAGGCCCCAGGGCCCAAGGGGGCCAAGGGGGCCAAGGGGGCTGCCCCCGCCAAAGGCCAGCAGGCCTGGTCAAAGCCGGGCAACCCCTATGGCAGCGGACAGCGCCCGGCAGGACTGACCTACACCGGCCTGCCGCCCATTGGGCGTGGTGACGACATTGCCCACCACTGCTGCTGCTGTCCCTGCTGCTCCTGCTGCCACTGTCCCCGCTTCTGCCGCTGCCACAGCTGCGGCTGTGTCGTCTCCTAGCTCAGCCCCACAGAACAGACCCCAGGACTCTGCTCAGGCAGCTATGGCAGCGCTCGGACGTTTGGGGCAGCCACTGAGCCATCGTCATGGGCGCCCGCTGCTTCCCACTCCGGACAGGGACACCTACCCGCCGAGAAGGTCAAACAGCTCAGCTCAGGGCCCCCCAAAATAAGCCCTGGGTGCTGGCTGGAATGGCTGTCCCAGGGACACCCTGGACCACCTTCCTCAAGGCCCAGGGCCAGGCAATAAAACAGAGCGAGCTTTGTTCGGGTGACTCCTCCTTGACTGCTGCCCCTTCAGGAGCGGTCCGTCTCCGCGGGACATTCGGGGGATGGGGAAGCCACTGCCTCATGACACTCTAACCTGCGAGTCTCAGGTCTGCTCAGGGTCTGGACAAGAGGAACAAGGCTGTGTTCCCTGCTCTGGCCAGGCCTGGGTTCAAGCTGGGAGATGGTCAGGCCTTGGGTCAGACAGCGGGAGGTCAAGCATGGAGCCAGGGGTGGGGGCGGTGGAGCCCCAAGAAAGGCTTTCAGGAGGAGGACCAGGCTGACGAGATGGTAGCGGGTGGCATTGGTGCCAGCAGGTTTCTGGGAGGGGAGCCCAGGTGGCCAGGACCAAGATCTACTCACCAACATGAGTCACCCCCGGCCTCAGCGGGGCATTTTTCTGGCTTCCCGTGAAACATCCCATTCCTGAACATCTGCTGTGAGGTGCCAGGCCGTGCTGCTCGCCCTTGTCCTGCCTCCAGGGCCTGGGCTTCCTGGAGGAGGTGGGCAGGAAGGGCCCTGGGCTGAGCAGGCCCTTCGGAGGACATTTCCTGCCCGTGGAGCACGTGGAATACCCTCTGGGTGGGACGTGTGGGAAGCCAAGTGGCTACGCATGGCATTGCCTCAGCACTCGGGTGAGGCTGGGATGCCGGGGCGAGGAGTCAGCGGCAAGGCCAGCGCTGGGCACCGGGATGTTTCCGGGGCTGGGCAGAGACGGTGGGAGGAGGAAGCCAAGCTGGACTCGCAGGACGGACAGGTCCCGGTGCCGGTCCTCCCCTGACTGGCCACTGGGCAGGCCGGGCTCCCGTGTGGGCAGACATGCCGGTAGCCTGACTGTGTGGTGACTCAGGTGTACCAGGCTCCTGCCCCCTGCCCCGTGGCCAGCCCCCGTCAGAGGAAGACCCCACCCAGGCCAGCCACAGAAACCTGTCGGACCAGCCCAAGAGGCTTCAGCCTGCCAGGGCGGTGGGAATAAGGAGAAGCCTCTCTGGCCTTTGGCTTCTGCCCAGCCAGGTGGTGAGGACCCTGGGGGTCCAGCCCGGCCTCAGCCCTTCTCGACACACCGCGTTCTGCTGTGTCCAATTCAGTGAGCTGGCCCTGGCACTGCCGCCAGGCGGATGCCAGGAGGAGGTGGCTCTGATGACAGTGTCCAGTGCTGCTCATGGTGCCCCTCAGAGAACCTCCGGGTGCCCCCTGTGTATGAGTGGGGCTCTCCACAGCTATGCTCGAGGCCTCCTTGGGGTCTCGTGGGGCCGGCCACTGCTCCATGATGGGAACACGAGAGACCCAGCCCAGGCAGGGAGGAAGGTGCTGGAGCGAAGCCACGTGGATCCTTGCGCGGTGACTGACGAGCAGGACCCCTCCCTCAGGGCCCCGGGCCGGTGGGGGTCCTGGCGGACTTCCTGGAGGAGGTGGTGCTTGAACTGAGCGATTGCCCAGGTGAAGATCCGGAGCTTTTCCAGCGTGAGGTGTGGGGGTACGAGTGAGGGTGGAGTGAGGAAGAGTCGGGGCGGATGAGGCTGGAGGACAGGCCGTGAGGAGTGGTGAAGCCAGGCCTGGTGGGGGGTGTGGAGCCGGGTCTCAGCATGAAGAAGCGGGGGCAGGGCGCAGTGTGGGGGCGCCTTATCTCCTGCCATGTTGGTAGTGTAGCGGATCCAGTTGCAAGTGCTTTGTGGCTGAAAGGGGAACCTGCCCGCCTGGAGCCACCACCTGCCTCCCTGCTGACTCGGGCTCGGCCAGTAACGCGAGCCCCAGGGAAGGAGCTGTAGGGCGCCCAGGGCCCCCCCACCGACTCTGGTCACCCTCTGGCTGGGCATAGCCAGCCAGCGGAGGAGCGGATGCAGGTAAGAGAGGCCTGGGGCTCAGGCTGGCGGGGGTGGGTGAAAGCCAGGGGTCGACCGGCAGAGGAGGGTCAAACAGCTGGACGGGGCGGCTGCCCAGACGGCAGCCACGGGAACCCAGGCTGTGCCCCAGCTCTGGCTTCTGCTGGCCCCACTGGCCACCACCTAGATCTGCAGAGGCGGGGGTCCTGTCCTCTGGGTGGGCTCCAGGTGCCAGGCCGGGATCGCACAGGACAGCTGTTGCGGAGCCGGGTGGGGTGGGCTGCAGCTCCCCGCGTGCCTCCCTCAGGATGCTGCAGTCCAAGGGCATGAGGAGGCGCCGGCCGCTGGGGTCAGGCGGGGAGACTGCATCGTCTGCTATTCGGCCTACGACCTCACCCAGCACCTGCCCCGCCACCTCTACTGTGGCCACACCTTCTGCCAGGCGTGCGTGAGGCGGCTGGACACGCCCGCCCACGGGCAGCGCCGGATTCCCTGCCCTCAGTGTCGCCAGAGCACACCCACGCCGCGCGGAGGGCCGGCCATGCTGGACCTCGACCTGGCCGCCTTCCTGGCCATCGAGGCAGAGCGGGAGCCATCTCGAGTGGACCCGCAGCCCCACGCCATCACTCGGCAGCCGGCGGGGCTCCGCCTCCCCTTGAGCCCCCAGCCCCGCTGGCCCCGGACCAGTCGTTGCTGCTGGGCCTGCAGCAGCTCCTGCTGGGCGCCCCCCCGCAGCCCGGAGTTCTAAGCTGGGGCTGCTGCGGCTCTTTGGGTGGGGGTACCCTGCATGCCTGTCCTGGAGGCGCCACCACTCACAGCGTCCTGGGCGCTGCCGCACACGGTTGCCCTGGGCCACAGCCAAAGGTCAGCACTGCGAAACTCCGCTGGGGGCCGATGACCGCCCGCCAGATCCGGCCAGGGCTGGGGGCACTGTCGTCAGAGTCGCCTGTCAGCCCAGCCCAGGCTCGGACTCGGCTCAGAAGATGGCTCCCCAAAGGGTCTGATGGCCAGTCGCCGGGGCCCGGGCTGCATGCCAGAGGGCAGGGCCAGGCCAAGGCTGTTCCTGGTCGGCTGGAGCAGGTCCCCCTGCCCTGTGAACTGTCCCCGGAGGCAGCCCCGTGGAGCTCCTTCACTCAGCTCAGTGAGGCCCCTGTGGGTCGGGTGCTGTTCCCGGAGGGTTCCCTGCAGGCACTACTGTGACAAGAGTCCAAGAATAGGGCCCTTGGCAGGGTCGGCCCCAGGCCCAGAGAAGGCGGGGGCCTGCCTGAGGTGGCACCGCACAGCAGGGCCAGTCCCACCCAGGCCCATTCCCGCGGCTCAGCTTCCTTCTGCTTCCCAGGGGACATCACTCAGGCCCTTCTGAGGGGCGCATCCAGTGTTGGAGGCTACAGGCGCAGACACTCCCAAATCAGGCTGTGATAGTCCTGTCCCCTTCCCCAGAAGGAGCTGTCACTCAGGAGCCCCTGGGAGGGACGGCTGGGCCCCACCCTGGGCAAGAGGGGGAGGGACGAGAGAATTCTCTGAAAAGACACTCAGGAGCCTCCTTCCCGGGGCAAAGTCCCCCAGGCGTGGAGCGATTGGTGGGCAGCAGGCAGGGCGCTAGAGCCGGCAGGCGGTGTCGGGAGGCGCCCCAGCCCTTCCTCCCGGCATCCCAGGAGCAGGAGGGGCACTGGCCTAAAGAAGTGCACCCGTGAGCCATGGGCCCATCAGGGCCCGGCTGTGAAGAGAACGGGCTGGGTCCCACCTCCTGGCCCCGGCGAGGCCAGCAGAGGGCCAGGCAGCAGTGTGCCGTGGGGGTGGGGCCGCTGTCTCCCCGCTGGCAGATGGAGGCATAACACCCTGGCTGGTGCTGGCCGCCACTGGGGCTGAACCTGCTGGGAGCTCTGCAGGGCCCAGCCCTGCCTCGCACCCGGATCTAACCTAGGCGACCTCAGGAGCTGGTGCTCTCCCCACCCAAGTAGTACAAAGGGCTGGCTTCCCGCTATCTGACGGGGCGGGGACGATAAGGCCTGCGGAGCTCCAGACAGACTTCCGGAAGGCCCCAGGCTGACCGGCTGAGCACCGGCCTGCTGCCCTGCCCTCGGCAGGCCGCATGCAGTGTCCACTAGTGTCACGCAGGCACCTGCTTGTGGAAGTCCAGCACTAAGGGCCGGTGCCCAGCCCTGCAATGCCCTTGGCCTGGCTGGGGGCCTGGGGCGCCTGCCCTCGGTGACAGAGGGGCCTGGATGAGGCAGGTGCCTGGGGCTATGATGGGTACCCCTGGGGGCCTCAGCTCCTGGGTAAACATTAATGGGGCTCAGTGCACAGCAGGTCATGTGTGTTCCTAGTGGATCTTTGACCCGCGGCTGCTCTCGCCCCGAGCCTCCTCCCCGCAGGTACCCCTTCACTGCCCACACAGGTAGGAGCATGTAGAACCAGGAGGGGCCCAGGGACACTGGGGCCAAGGCTGGGTGACCTTCAGGCCCAGGGCTTACCACCCGCCCAGAGCGAGAAACCAGCCCGTGGGGCAAGCAGGGAGAGGGCGACAGAGAGTCCCCAAGGTCCGGGCGCTGGGGGCTGGGAGGGAGTTGAGGCAGAGCCCTGGATGGGGGCGGGGGGCAGGTGCAGACACGCTGGCTGAGGAGCCTGCGGTGGGGTGGGGTGCCCAAGCCCCTTGCCCTGCCCCCGCCCCGGGGGCGGGGCCCTTATCAAATGAAGACATATCAAATACCAAAGTCTAAGCCGAGACCATCTGCAATGCCCCTGATGACACCTGATGGAAGAGGTCCCCGGCTCCCAGCTCCCAGCCACTGCGAGCCTGCGCCTCAGCACCCGTGCCCTGGGCCACCTGCCAGGCCTTCCAGCCAGGACCGGCCAGGGAGCCGGGCAGCCGGGCCCTCTCCACTCTGTCCCCCGAAACTGCACTGGGCTTGCCTGACAGCTATCTGAGGTCACTGCGGCCATCCGCCTGTGGATGGAGGATGGGGTGGTCCCTAAGGCCAGCGGGGGCAGGGGAACAGCGTCCACAGTCTCAGGTGAGGGGGCCCGGGGCCAGGCAGGGTGGGGGCGGAGTGGTGTCTGACCCGCCCTTTCCCCCAGCAGAGCCAGGCCTGGGCCCGGGTCTGCGTGTGCATGAAGGCCATGCCCACATCTCTCACTGGTGGCCAGGCGCCCACCTCCACTATGGACACGGTCGGCCTGGTAGACCGGAGCCGAGGAAATGCAGGTACCGGGAGCCCAAGGCCCTGGACTGGGCACCCCCGGCCCCCCGCCCGCCCCTCTAGTCCTAGCCCACTGCTCTGGGAGGTGGGGAGCGGCTCACAACAACCCCCGTCAGGCCTAGAGGAGCCAGAGGCCCCTTTCGTGCCCCTCACCTCGATGCCTGTGCCAGTCTGCCACACCCCCTGTGCTCACGGAGGGTGTCCAGGAAAAGCTGGGGCCCTGGCCTCACCGGATCTGACCCTATAGGGGCCTCCGGTGCTGCCCCCATCTTCGAAGAGGGGGACACGGACCCCTGGGCCCTCCCTCAGCTGAAAGACACTGGCCAGCCCTGGAAAGGTAGGTCTGCAGCTGCCAAGAACTGGCCAAGTGGGGTCCCGACTCCCCAGGGTCTGGGCAAGGAGGAGGTTCGCCCCACAGAAAACATGGAAACCCCCCACGCAGCCCACTGCCTGGGGACCCTTGTCCCTCAGCTCAGCTGTCTGCCCCGTTTGGCGACGAGGGCCACCCCTGCCAGCCGGCCCCTCCTCCCCGCCGCTGGCCGTCGGGCTTCTGGGAGGCTCCCAGGGCTGTCTGCTCGGGACAGAGGAGGGGGACCCAGGCCCTGCCGGCAGGGACAGAGGCAGACCCAGCAGGGCAGGGTTAGGGCTGGCTGAGGACAGCCCTGCCCTGTGTCCTCAGAGCTCAGCACGGCCGGCAGGGCGCTCTGGGTGGCTGTCGGCTTCCTCAAGGTCTGCGGGCTCCTGGGCTGCCTCTACCTCTTCGTCTGCTCCTTGGACATCCTTGGCTCTGCCTTCCAGCTGCTGGGCAGTGAGTGACTGGTGGGGCGGCCAGGGGCGGGCTCAGCAGCCAGGCTTTGGAGGCCTCAGTTCACCTCTCTCCTGGCCGCAGGCAAAGTGGCCGGGGACATCTTCAAGGACAACGTGGTGCTGTCCAACCCTGTGGCTGGACTGGTCATCGGGGTGCTGGTCACTGTTCTCGTGCAGAGCTCCAGCACGTCGTCCTCCATCGTGGTCAGCATGGTGGCCTCGAATCGTGAGTGCCCCCTCCTCTCCAGGGTCGGCAGCGGGTGGGTGGGGCACGGGAGGCTGACGCGGCACCCCCACAGTGCTGACTGTCCGGACATCTGTGCCCATCATCATGGGCGTCAACGTGGGTACGTCCATCACCAGCACCCTGGTGTCCATGGCACAGTCGGGGGACCGGGATGAGTTCCGGAGGTGAGTGGCGGGGAGGGTGGGGGCAGGGCCGCGCTCCGGCAGCTGCCAGCAGCCACCACGCGGCTCCCTGTGGCTGTAGGGCCTTTGGGGGCTCGGCCGTGCACGGCATCTTCAACTGGCTCTCAGTGCTAATACTGCTGCCGCTGGAGTGTGCTGTGGCCCCGCTGGAGAAGCTCAGCGCCCTGGTCCTGAATGCCACCAGCCTGCAGCCTGGGGGGCACGCACCTGACATCCTCAAGGTGCTGACACAGCCGCTCACACACTTCATTGTGCAGGTGGGGACCGTGCTGCCCTCGGAGGCCTGGGCAGGCATGCTGGGAGTGGGGACAGCGGAGGAGGGTCTGCGCGGGCTGAGCTCCAGGTGAGTCCTGAGGCTCCAGCACAAGTCGCGACCCCTCCGTCCCCCAGCTCGACACCAATGTGATTGTGGAGAGCGCCGCAGGCAGCACCAACAGCAGCCTTATCAAGCGATGGTGTGGCGCCAGCGGGGAGCAGGTGAGGCGCCTCGACCCCCGTCCTCCAACCTGCTGAAGTGCCCCGTCCTGCTGCCTCCGAGCCTGCCTTGAGCCTGCCCTGCCTGCCTCCCCAGGCCACAGGGAACAGTAGCAACTGTGGACCGGTGGCCCTCGGACCCTGCCCCGAGAGCAATGACTCAGCCACCGTGGAGAAGCTGCCCTGTGAGGCCCCACGCCTGCCCCTGTCCCCGCCCGCCCCCCACGTCCCTTGGCTACCGCTCACCCAGCCCTGCCCTGCCACCAGGCCAGCACCTGTTCGCGGGCACGGCGCTCACGGACCTGGCGGTGGGCTTCATCCTGCTAGCTGCCTCCCTGCTGGTCCTCTGCACCTGCCTGGTCCTCATCGTCAAGCTGCTCAACTCCATGCTGCGAGGCCGCATTGCCCAGGCCGTGAGGACGGTCATCAATGCCGGTGCGGAGGGGCCCAGGGGCACGGGCAGGGCGCGGCGGGCACGGAGGCCGGGCGGGAGGTGACCCAGCTGCTCCCCCAGACTTCCCCTTCCCGTTCGGCTGGCTCAGCGGATACCTGGCCATCCTGGTGGGCGCCGGCCTGACCTTCGTGCTCCAGAGCAGCAGCGTGTTCACGGCAGCCATTGTGCCGCTCGTCGGTGAGCACAGCAGGCGGGTGCCCGGCCACACAGGGGGCGCCTCAGGGCTCTGTGCTGACCTCTGGCTCCTCCAGGGATTGGGGTGATCAGCCTGGAGCGGGCGTACCCCCTCTTATTGGGCTCCAACGTTGGCACCACCACCACGGCCCTGCTGGCCGCCCTGGCCAGCCCCTCGAGTATGCTGCGCTTCGCCATCCAGGTACGGCCCTCTACCCTCTCCCCGCTCAGGCCGCTGGCACCCAGCCCTGCAGACAGGAGGCCCGAGGCCCGCCCGAGGCTGGCCGTGGCCCGTGCTCTCCCGGGGGCCCGCCTCTGACCGCCCACTCAGATCTGCAGTCCTGCCCTTGAACCCCAGGGACCCCTTAACCCCGCCCTTCCTCCCCTGCAGCCTCTGTGTGGTCCCGGGGTACCCTCTCCTTTCTTTTCAGCAGCCCTTCCCTGGCCTCCCCCAGGGACCCCTGCTCTCCCACTCCCTACCCTGTGCTCCTGCCTGCGTTCCTTCGAGGCCTCCTGGCTCTGGGGTACCTCGAGCCCCTCCCTTCCATCACCTCCAGGACACTGTCCCCCACTCGCCACCTAAACCCAACGGGTTCCTCCTGGACGACACGCCACGTTCCTGTGCCACGTCCTCCCCCTACCCCCCGCCGTGCCCCGTCACAGTTCTGCCTTCAGGAAGCCCCCCGCTGGCCCCCAGCTCCACGCCCTGAACCCAGTCCCGCCGGCCCTGCTCATTCCCAGGGGTCCACTGCTCTGCTAAGCGCCCTCCTCCACCGCCTCTGCTGGGTGCTGACCCGTGCAGCTTCCGGAAGCCCCACCTCGCTGGGCTGCTGCCTGTGGGGCCAGAGGAGTCCAGCCCCCGACTCACCTGCCCTCTTGCCTCTGGCCCGTCTCTGTCCACTCAGGCCTTCCCGGGCCCCCCCACCCAGGAAGCCCCCAAGACTATACCCACCAACACCAACTCCTGGGGCCCGGCAGCCCCTGAGGGGTGCATTCCCTCCATGAGGCCCAGCACCTCCTCCCCATAGGAGCCAGGCCAGCATGGCTGGGTGGCCAGGCCCACTAAGGGGTGAGAAGCGGGGTCACTAGGCGTGAGGCAAGCTAAGCTAGCCCAGAGGGTTGGACCTACATGGCTGTCCTGATACAGTTACTACACGGGGTGCCAGGCTGGGCTCCCGACCCCCAAAGTGGGGGGCAGTCCAGGACGGGCATGCCACACCTGGCCGGAATCTGCCCTCCCAGGTGGCCTGTCTTGGCCAATGAGCAGGACCCCAGACAGGCTTTGGACTTAGCACCTTTCTGCCAAGGCGAGGAGGGGCAGGCAACCTGGGGAGCCATTGGGCCCAGGCTGCTGACCCCGCCGGCCCTCCACCCCCAGGTCGCCCTCATCCACTTCTTCTTCAACGTGACTGGCATTGTGCTGTGGTACATGGTGCCCGTCCTGCGGCTGCCCATCCCGCTGGCCAAGTACTTCGGGGACCTGACCGCCCGCTACCGCTGGGTGGCCGTTGCCTACCTACTGCTCAGCTTTCTGCTGCTGCCGCTGGCTGCCTTTGGGCTATCCTTGGCGGGGGACACGGTGCTGGCTGCAGTCGGGGGGCCCCTGGTGGCACTGGTGCTCCTCGTCGTCCTGGTCAACTTCCTGCAGCGGCGCCAGCCGGCCTGGCTGCCCCGCCCCCTGCGGTCCTGGGCCTGGCTCCCCCTCTGGCTCCGCTCTCTGGAGCCCTGGGACCGCCTAGTGAGCCGCTGCTGCCCCTGCAGGGCCTGCAGCCCCCCTCAGGCTGCTGCCAAGGAGGCCCACTGCTACGAGAACCCCGAGACCCTGGCCTCCCAGCACCTGTGAGTAGTGGGCGTTCCCCGCCCAGCACTGACACTGGCGCCCTGGGAGATCCCAGTACTAGTGGACTTCTGAGTCGCCTGACTCGACTTCTCTAGAAATAAAGGAGGCTGCGACCCAGATGTGGGTGGTCTTCACTGCAAGACAGGGACCTCGGAGGGGCGCTGGGCGCCGAGCAGCGCTTTTGCTGCCCCCTGGCGGACACTAGGGGGACCGCGGCAAGCCCGCGTGGGAGCTGCCCGCCCCCGTGGGTGTGGACACACAGATGACCCTCCAGCTCCAGGCTGGACCGGTTTCTCTCTCCGGGCTGCCTGCCGGGGACAGAAGGCCCCAAGTAGCAGTCAGGAACGCGGAGACTTCCTGCAGCAAGAAGCTGGGGTCTGGGGAAGCCGGACCCCGGCCGGGCCCTTCCTGGTCCGTGTAGGAAAGAGGGGCGGCGGGCTCCCACGCCCCTGAGAATACGCGCGAGGAGGCCGGCGCGCGTGCAGCCCGCCCCGCTACCGCCCAGACCCACTGTTGCGGGATGGCCGGCAGGATGCGACGCAACTACACCTCCCCCCACCCCCCACCCCTGCCTCGCAGGTGTGTGTGGGGTGAGAAGGGGGCCAAGTAGGGACACGGTGGCCCCGAGGAGGCGCCTCAGCACCCCCTTCTGCCCCTTCCTTTCTCTAGGCTGGGTGGGGCTCAGGGCCGGGGGTCGTGGGTAGGGCCCGGGGCGCGTTTTAGGCACGCTGGACTCTGCTTGCCTTGGGGCCGCCAAGTCCTCTCAGCCCCAGAGACCGACTAGGAAGTGGGTCCTGCCTGCGACCCGTGCCGCAGCCTGCACCTGGAGCTCACCCTTATGACCCACCCCCGCCGAGAGGCAGGCCAAAGCCTCCGGGCCATGTGAGGGAGGGGGAGGCCCAGCTGTCCCCCTCACCTGGGGGTGGCACCTGTCCTGAGCCAGCCTCGTTCCTCACTGGCCCCTGGCCCCTCCCCGCGGCGCAGTGTTGGGTTTCCACACAGGAAGGCTCGTCCGACCGCCAGCAAGTAACCAGACACTAGGGAAATGGCTGAGCCTCCTGCCGCCCCAGCGCAGGGCTGCCCACAACCCCAGCCCGACGCCCAGGCCACCCACTGGACTCACGCATTGAGAGGGGCTGAAGAGCAACCCCGGTCGAGGATCCGATGTGCCATAGTTTTTAGTCTGCTGCTATAGCGGTCACCTCCTCCCAGTCCAGGACGCTGCCCAGGTGGGCTGGGAGGAGTGCGCATGGTCAGGAAGGTGGGGGGCAGCCCCAGAGACATTCCTACTTATGGTCCTGCTCTTTTACTATCCCCCGTGTCCCCCAGTCCTCTTAGCCCTGGTTCTCCCAGTCCCCTCAGCCCCCTCTGTGTCCCCTGGTTCACTTAGGCCCTCCTTCGTGTCCCCCAGCATCCTTAGTGCCCCCCTCCATGTCCCCCAGGCACTCAATCCCCCTCCCTGTGTCCCCCAGCCCCCTGAGGCCCCTCTATGTCCCACAGGCCCTCAGTCCCTCACCCCCCCATAAACCCCATTCCCCTTAGGCCCCCCCATTTACCCTAGGTCCCCTGTCCCCCAACAAGTTCCTAGCTTGCATTCACTTTGTCCAAGGGAAGTAGCTCTGTTCTGGGAGTCACGAGGGGTCCCATGAGAACAAGACCCCTGGAGCAGGCACTTGTTCCCTAGCTTGGGTCCCCCCACTTCTGAGACCTTAGGACATACCTGCAAGTGTGTCATCTGCCTCAGGGTCCCTCTAATGGAAGTCCCCTGAAGAGGGGCTAGTTCCCTGGGGAGACTGTGGGAGGCAGTGCCAGGGGAAGAAAGTACCCCATGCACCTCTCCTTCCGGGGTGGGTGAGGCCGCCCACAAAGGCTGACCGCCAGGTCCTTTGAGGCCACAAGCAACTGTCTGCCTGCTGCCTGGCTTGGAGGTAACACACCCTCCCACTGGGACCATGGCCACCGGTAAACAAAGCCATCCTGGTGGACGCCTCCAACAGCTGTGGGCCGAGCCAGAGGGCCAGGCGCCCAGCAACCTCACGGCCTCGCCTGCCTTTCCCTGTGCCCTCTCGCCCCACATCCCACCAGGCCACAGGCCCCCACTGGGCTCACCTCTACAGTGTAACAGGAACATTCTTGGCTGAGGGTGGGCACCTGTGGGGCCTCCCTCAACCAGCCATGTGCAGCAGTGGCAGCCACGGTTCTTAGGCTCAGGCCCAAGGACCACAGGGAGGGTCCAGTTGTCTCGCTGCCAGCCCATGTCTACCTTCTGGGGCGATGGGAGGGGCAAGGCAGACAACCTGGTGCCAGGGAGAGCTCTGGGGCTCACACCTGGGCAGGTGACACCACCTCTATTTTGTTACCCATAAAATGGGAGTGTCGTACTGAACTGCCAGCCCTGTGGGCACTGGTCACAAGGGTGGGTCTGGGGGAGTGAGGAGGGAGGGCTTTGCACACGCACTGGGGAAAGCCTGGGCTTCTCCCTTCCTCATGGATTTGTGACAGCTCTGCTACAAGGCCCAAATGGCCTCCTCGCTGCAGTGCCAGGGCCCGGCTGACTGTGGCTTGGGCAGCTGAGCTAGCTACTTTGCAAGGTGCTGTGAGGACCCAGGATGTCAGGCCACCCCACGGCCACGCCCAGCGCACCCATCGGGTCATGGCCTGGCCCACCGTCCTGGCCGCCCTGTGGGGAGGGAGCTGGTCCCCCAGGCCCTGCTGTACCTGACCTGCACTCTGATGTGGTGACTCACCCTCCAAGACAGGAGGGCTGCAGGAGCCAGGGAGTGGAAGGGAATGGAAGAGCTGGTGGAAGAGCTGACCTGCGTCCAGCGTGCTGCTTGTCCCAACAGTTTTACCCGCGATGCACAGTTCCAGTCACATGCACACCATTGCTGCTGTTGATACCGCAGTACGCCACAACACCCTGGTACTGCACATCACACGGCTGTCCCCAACACCCTCGCGTTGGGGCGAAGGAGCGAAAGTGGACTGAGAACACCAGAAGCGAGAGGCTCAGGGGCCACAGCCGCGACACTGTTCAGGACAGACTTAAGGTTTATCCTTTATTAAATGTTAGAAAAGTGTAAGGCAAGTGTACTGTCTTTAAGGCGACTGATTAAAAATGCGACCACATACAATAATTTTTCCTTCGTTAAGTTTTTCTTTTCCCCAAATGTAAACAGTGAAAAGTAAAGGCATTTGTCAGCCCAGGCATGTTGATCGTGGTTCGGGTAACAGGGCCGGGAGCCCGGAGGTTGGGGCCCGCCCGCGCCGAGGGAGGTCTGGGCGCCACCCTTGTCTCCACGGAGCTCGGAGCGCTGGGGCCGAGGTACCAAGGCGACGGGCAAGGGGCCAGCGCGGTCTCCACAACAAGATCATGGCTGCGGGGCAGCGACCCGCCCCAACACCTCCCCTCCCTCTCCAGCTCTGCCCCCCTCCCCCGCAGCGGCCCACGTGCTCCCTCACCTGACCGCCTTCGCGGCTGGCGTGCGGACCAAGGAGGGGCACAGGAAGCCCAAGGCCCCTGCCGCTCTGGGGGAGGGCCCCTACTCCACCCACTCGTGGGGCCCGGCAGCCGAACCCTGTTTGCCTCTGCAGTGAATGGCCTCGCGCCCGTCCTCGGCTCCGAGACCCCGCAAGGTAGCCCAGATCGCCCCGCCCTCGTTTCGCTGCGGTCCGAGGCAGCGGCCCCCACAGAAGGCGCTCGCCCACCGGGGCTGCGGAGACGCTGCGTGCG